CTAGCCCCAAAGATTATTTATTTATTTATTTGAAAGGCAGTTACATTCCACAGAGAAAAGGAGAGACACAGAGAGAAAGAGATCTTCCAGCCACTGGATCACCATTCAGATGGCCACAATGGCCAGGGCTGGGCCAAGCTGAAGTCAAGAGCCTGATCCACACTCCCACATGTGTAGTAGGGACCCAAACACTTGGTCCATCCTCCACTAACCCCTCCCAGTCCATTGACAGGGAACTGGATCAGAAGTAGAGTAGCCAGGACACCAACCAGCACCCAAATGGGATGCTGATGCCACAGGAAGCAGCTCTACCCACTGTGCCATGAAGCCAGCCCCAAAAAGCTAATTCTTGAGCCCAATCTGGACCTACTGAATCAGAGATTCTCAGGCTGGTCCCAGCATTCTGTTATTTTTTTTAATTTTTTATTTATTTATTTGAAAGAGTTATACAGAGAGAGAAGGAGAAGCAGAGAGAGACAGGTCTTCCAACTGCTGGTTCACTTCCCAGTTGGCTGCAACAGCTGGAGCTGCACCATTCTGAAGCCAGGAGCCAGAAGCCTCCTCTGGGTCTTCTCACAAGGGTACAGGAGCCCAAGGACTTAGGCCATCTTATACTGCTTTCCAGGCCATAGCAGAGTTGTACTGGAAGTGGAGCAGCCAGGACTTGAACTGACACTCATATGGGATGCCGGCACTGCAGGTGGTGGTTTTACCCACTATGCCTCAGTGCCCGCCCCAGCATTCTGTTTTAACAACCCTCTATTAGATGCTAAAGTTTGAGAATTCTGCTTTAGGTGGTCATGGAGACACCAGTTGATATGCAAGTGTCTCAGGATCCTAGGAACTTATCTGGTGCCATGATCTTCAAAATGAACTCTCAGTTCATTCCTTTCTACACTTAAACAAGGCAAATGATTTTAAAACTCAGGATTTCCCTCTCACACTAGGTAAGTTTCTACATGCCTGCCATAGTCTAGGTACTCCGGTTACACCTTTGCATGAATGATTGCAGTGTATCCCTGCAAAAGCCCTGCATGGTAGTTTGCTGTCTTTGCTCTGCAGGTAAGGAAATGGAAGTTCCATGAGATGAGACAACTTGCCTGAAAACCTATAGTCTCTCAATGATGAAGCCAGGATATAGATTTCATTAGTCTCTGTCTAGAATCAGTGCTCTTCTAGCTTCTCTAGTCCAAGGTGAAGAATCAGGGATGCGTAGCTTAATGAAAAGATGCATCAGAAAGCATGTGAAATGTGTCTGTGCATCATAGGATTACTGTGATCATGGGAGTTAGCCAGATTAATGCTTGGCAGAGAAAGTAACTTGCCATTGTAGTGTGTTTTTTTTAAAATAAATGCATATCAGAGGTACTAAAAATATTTGTGGAAAATGCATAGGATGAAAAAACTACAAGTGGATTTCAAAAAATTTACACACCAAAATAAGCTCAACTTTTAACTCCATTTTCTATGAACTTCTTGATGTTATCTAGTATTTTGTCAAAAAATGAAAGAGAAACAAAAAATGAAGAAGGAAAGAAGGAAGGAAAGAAGGAGGGAAGGAAGGAAGGGAGGGAAAAATTTAACACATGAATGCTCTACCTCATTTGCTGCTTGCTATTTGCTAAGCTGTCTATCTTGGTGGACGATTTTCACAGGCACACTGTGTGTGTGTATGTGTGAGTGTATGTGTGTGCACATGCATATCACATAACAACAATCCACAACAAGGCATGGTTTGAGGAGACCTACAGGAGAAGAAGGTGAGCAGGCAAGAAAGACTTGGACGAATCTCCGAATAGGCAATGAACTCATTATAATCCTGTAGTTCTTGGAGGCTGCTGTTTGCTGTGGGAAAATGGGGCCTCTTGGCTATCAAGCTGCCTACGTGCTGATCTCCATCTTGAACCCCTTTGACAGAAGCAGAGTGTTTCAGGTGCAGATTCTAGAAAACTTACAAGCAGGTCTGTTTTTAAACACATCACATATTGAACTTTCTCTACTATGGGAGGCTGGCCAAGTAGTGGTTTTTGAAGCTTTTAAAGGCTCACTGGCCCTTCAAAAATGGCCGTTGTGGACATATGGTTTTAGAAGTTTTGAAAAGAGCCTTATGGGTTTATTTTTAGAGCAAACCTTAACCTTGTAAAGCTTCTTAAAGGAGCCACAGAAAGTCCAATCATGCAGGCGCTATAGAACTCCAGGCAGCTGTTCCCAGAGGTTCCCTCACAGCCTTTCCCTGTGCTTGCCGTGAGTCTCTGGTTAGCCAGAGACAGGTTGCTCCAGCCTCCTCCAAAAGGTGAATCATGGGAGGCAGGAAAGGTGGAGACATAGGTGAGTTACCAGAGTCTCCAGTGAATGGAGACCCAAGACCCCTATACCCAGAAAATCTCAAAGATTCTCAAGAAATAAAGGAATCCCCAAATCCACGGAGTCAACCCTGATCTAATGTAATCCATCCTGAAACACACTTATAAAGAGGTTGTTCCACCTGTGTCTGCACACCTCCAGCTGGGGGAAGACCATTGTCTAGGCATTCATTCAACTCAGTTTTAGTTGAGTGCAAATTATGTTCTCGGTACCATCCAAAGTGCTCACATGGTGACACCCATACGGATTTCCAAATGAAGAAGTGTCATTAAAGAAATACAAAGATTTATACCATCCCCTGACAGAGTCTGATCTGGCCTGAGTGATTTTTAAGTCTGATGACAAGATGATGTTTACACCAGGATCTAAGGATCGGTGAAGGTGAACACTGCAAGTGGAGGTGGGAGGAGAACCCAAGGTGTCCCAGGAACATCTCTACAGAGGCCTTCAGGCAGTGGGGACTTTTAAAAGAAAGAAGAACAGTTCTGTTGTGTGGCACAAAATGAAGAAAGATCTGGTTTGAGGCTGGAGGCAAACGGAGTGCAGAGCATGCTTATTTCTCTCCATGTTGACCATGCTGTAGATTTTGACCTTTAACCTGGAAGGAATTGGAAGCTTCTGAGTCATTTAAAGCAGAGGCCAGGTAACTCATGACCAAGCTACAAATTCTTTCTCATGTCGCTCAATGTTCTGATCTTAAAATAGCTTCATAATTCTCCTCCCTTTAAAAGGCAAAGCCTAATTTCCCGCCACTCACTTCTAATGAATACACTTGGTAGAAGTGATTCTAGGTAACCTCTGAGGCTAGGCCATGGGAAGGACAGCTCCCACCTGGCACTCATTCTCTTGCATTACCCACTCTCAGAGTAACCTGGCCTCCATGCTGAGCACAGTTACACAGCTTGTGGACAGGCCTACTTGGAGAGAAACCTAGTTCTCCTTGCCACCACCACCTCCCAACTGGAAGCAGACTCTCCAGCCTCAATCAAACCTTCAGGTGACTTTGTACCTGGCTGTTGTCTTGGCTTCAGCCTCATGAGAAATCCTGAGCCAGAACCACCCAATTAAACTGCTTTGAATTCTTGACCCACAGCAATTGTGAGACAATACATGTTTATTGTCACTTCCAGTCACTGACTTTGGACAGTTTGTGAAGCAGCAATAGCTACCCAATACGATAAGATACCTTAGGGAACAGAGGAGGAAAAGCTGAATCTCTGGGGACTGGAAAGACTTGTGTTTGAAATCCAGTGCTGCCACTTATACATGTGTTGGACTGAGGGCAAGTTGCTTGGTCTCTTTGAGCTCCCAGCTGTAGGATCAGATAGTGCTCTCAGAACCTCCAAAGTCAAGTCCTGTGTAATAATCCTTGGTTTCCTTGCTATCTCCCATGTGGTACACAACTGAGGCCATTCTCCAGGCCAGAGGGAAAACCTGGTTGTGCAGACCTACAGAGCATGGGTCTACTGACTGCCTAGTGACTAAAGAGCTGCTTGTCCAAGGCTTCCATCGGTGAAGGTTCATTATGCACACTGCAGATTTTCAAGCGTATTCTCTACTTGGGCTAATGAGTTTTATGAGTGCACCTCCTGCTGTGTAAACATAATTTCCTTTTATTATTTAAAATTCATCTCCATGCAGTTTCCTTATTTTCTTCATTTGCAGTGTGACAAGGAAATAGATTTATGAGCATTCTTGTGAAGGAGATTATTTAATTAGCTTTTACTATGCACCATTTAAGAGATTATGGGGACATTTTAGTTCATTCTCAAAACACCACCCTGGAGTGTCTGTCATTTGTATCACATTGAAGATGAGAAAGCAAATATAAATGCCAGCAATGTTACTTTGCCACCCAGTAGTATGTGACCTTGATTCTTCACCCTCTTAGAGCTCAGTTATCAACCCCTCACACATCTTAATTTCCTCATCTCCACAATGGGAGATGAGAAAAAAACTAATACAAAATAATGTTAATAAGAGGATTAATTAAGTTAGCATGTATAAAATACTTAAAATAGTGCCTCGCATATTTTGGTATGTTACTTACTAGTTTCACTTTTTAAAAAAAATTTAACCACTCTTTCAAAAGTTCAGAGCAAAATTCCTCTCTGAGCCACTTTTCTCCAACAATAGTATGTCTCTTTTGCAGCAGTGTTCCTTCCCACTTGTTTTAGCATTTTTCACATACATTTCATCCTTTCAACAATTCTATGACTCAATGTCACTATCTTGATTTTTCAGCTAAGCAAACTGAGGCTCAAAGTTCTTTTGGTTGCAAGCAACAGAAACCAACTAAAGCTGGTATAAGTTAAATAGAGAAATTTGTCACAAGTTGACAGTGATGACTTAGAATTCAAGCTCATGGGTGAGCTACAGGGAAAAGTCCCAGGAGTTACAACACCAGGGCAGAGGAATACTGGAGGAAATTCAAGTAAGGCTGCTGCTTCATTCCTCTCTCCTTTCCTAACTGATGGGCTGTCTTGGTCTTTTTGTCCCTGCAAACTGACTTTCTCAGCTGTTCACAGGAAGGAGTTGGAGGAATGGCAGGATCCTAGAATTACCAAGTTCACATGTAATTTTGCCAAGCATAGGAAAGACTTACTTTCTGCCTCTTTTCTGTTTTGATTCCCCAGGACCACAGATGGGACTCTGATTGGACCACCCTGATTCAATCAAGCATGGTGAGTAGGCTCGCCATGTATCATCAGTGCTGCTGGGAATGCAATCCTGTTGATTCCTATAGAAAGGTCACCAGCAAGTGAAAGACACTTCAAAAGGGGTTCAGCACATGAAGTGACTTTTCTAAGCCATTTCAAATGTTGAGGATGCTGGGGAGGGATTCCTTTCCAAATGTTCTTTTTCCATGAGGCCAGCATTGTTACTGTGAGTCTTCAGCCTCTTCACTACAGGTGACCAGCATCTGCTGGATTCAGCTTGGGAAAGGTCTGAGTACCCTCCTAATTGGGGGCCTTTCTTCAGGTGCAATAATGTCTAATAATACAACTGTCAACGACAGATCATGAATTTGGGTGTTTTTTGGTGACTTTCTTGACCGGTGATTTTCAGTGTTTCCCTGGAGGAAGAATGCACTTCACGAAGGCACTGACACCAGATTTGGAATAGGACTTGCTTTAGCTAATAGAACCCAAGTGGGAGAGATTTAAGCCAAGTCCAATCAGAAATATTAAGAGCCATTGCAAGTTTCAGCCATCTCTTTTTGTTTCCTTCTACGACACGCTTGGCATGTCTGAAATATAAGCTACACTTTCTACCTGAATTGTGGAATGCAGAAGACACATGACAGATTCCTGTGGTATCTGCAAGACAGAGATGAGCCTTTTGGGAAATTACTCAACTGAGACCTTCTTTTTGATAGTAGGCCTTTAAGGGCTGAGAGTAGGAAAGGGAGGGGGACAAAATATAGGTGTTTCCCAATTCTTATTTTTGATAAGAACCTTAGAGGAGGTGATTTGTAAGGGATGGTGATGAGTCTCGTTCATGAAGGAAAAGTACAGTGCACAGTAGGATATACTAGTTTGAATCTTAGGGGAGAAATGTGGGCAGGAGTCATAGGTTGTTTATGTGCCTACAGAAAGTACTTGAAGTCTTGGGAGCTACTGAAATCACAGAGAGAATAGAAGCATAAGAGAAAGCAGGGGATGAACATTGACACACTCAATATTAGAAGCAATGATGGAGGAAGAAAAGCAAGGAGAGGGACCCTGGAAGGGTAGGCAGGAAAGACGGGAGATGAATAGACTCCAAGGAAAAGTGATCTGTCATCACCATGAAGCATTTGGATTCCACTTGGGGGAGGAAATGATTTTTGCCATTTTTCCCCATTCAGTAATATCAACTCATAGGCCAGTGCTGCGACTAACTAGGCTAATCCCCTGCCTGCGGCACCAGCACCCCAGGTTCTAGTCCTGGTCGGGGTGCCAGATTCTGTCCCAGTCATTCCTCTTCCAGTCCAGTTCTCTGCTGTGGCCAAGGAGTACAGTGGAGGATGACCCAAGTCCTTGGGCCCTGCACCCCATGGGAGACCAGGAGAAGCACCTGGCTCCTGGCTTCGGATCAGCACAGTGCACCGGCCGCAGAGCACTCTGGCTGCCGGGACCATTGGAGGGTGAACCAATGGCAAAAGGAAGACCTTTCTCTCTGTCTCTCTCTCTCATTGTCCACTCTTCATGTCAAAAAAAAATCAACTCATAAGGATTACAAAATATTTTTGTGACATAGTTAGAGGAGAAAATAGTACTTATCCTCAAGATAGGAATAAATAAACTAAGACTCAGGTGGATATATGCCTTATCCAAAGGAGTTTTAAAAATAGTGCCTTGTTATAAATAAGAATGAGAATAGGAGAAGGAAGAGGAAGAAGGGTGGGAGGAATCACTGTGTTCCTAAATACATATATATGAAATGTTTGAAGTGTGTATATCTTAAATAAAAGATTTGTAGTTAAAAATGTTTCATTTTACACTGTGTTAAATACCCATACAATATAATTTTTTTAGCTTTTATTTAATGAATATAGATTTTCAAAGTACAGCTTATGGATTACATTGGCTCCCCCCGCCCAGTGACTTCCCTCTCACCTGTAACCCTCCCCTTTCCCGCTCCCCCCTTCCATTATTATCAAGATTCATTTTCAATTTTCTTTATATACAGAAGATCAGTTTAGTATACATTAAGTAAAGATTTCAAAAGTTTGCACCCACATAGAAACACAAAGTGAAAAATACTGTTTGAGTACTCGTTATAGCATTAAATCTCAATGTACAGCACATTAAGGACAGAGATCCTACATGAGGAGTAAGTGCACAGTGACTCCTGTTGTTGACTTTACAAATTGACACTCTTGTTTATGCAGTCAGTAATCTCCCTATGCTCCAGTCATGAGTTTCCAAGGCTATGGAAGCCTTTTGAGTTCACCGACTTATCATATTTAGACAAGGTCATAGTCAAAGTGGAAGTTCTCTCCTCCCTTCACAGAAAGGTACCTCCTTCTTTGAAGACCTGTTCTTTCCACTGGGATCTCACTCACAGAGAACTTTCATTTAGGTCCTTTTTTTTTTTTTTTGCCAGAGTGTCTTGGCTTTCCATGCCTGAAATACTCTCATGGGCTTTTCAGCCGGTTCCAAATGCCTTTAGGGCTGATTCTGAGGCCAGAGTGCTGGTTAGGACATCCGCCATTCTATGAGTCTGCTGTGTATCTCGCTTCCCATGTTGGATCGCTCTCCCCTTTATTTATTCTATCGGTTAGTATTAGCAGGCACTAGACTTGTTTATGTGATCCCTTTGACTCTTAGTCCTTTCATTATGATCAATTGTGAATAGAAATTGATCACTTGGACTAGTGAGATGGCATTGGTACATGCCACCTTGATGGGATTGAATTGGAATTCCCTGGTATGTTTCTAACTCTACCATTTGGGGCAAGTCAGCTTGAGCATGTCCCAAATTGTACATCTCTTCCCTCTCTTATTCCCACTCTTATATTTAACAGGGATCACACATCAGTTAAATTTCAACACTTAAAAATAACTGTGTATTAATTAAAGAATTAAACCAGTAGTATTAAGTAGGACAAAAAAAAACTACTAAGAGGGATAATGTATTAAGTTGTTCATTAACAGTCAGGGCTATGCTGATCAAGTCACTGTTTCTGATAGTGTCCATTTCACTTCAGGAGGTTTCCTTTTTGGTGTTCAGTCAGTTGTCACCAATCAGGGAGAACATATGATATTTTGTCCCTTTTGTTGCAAATGACTGGATTTCATTGTTTCTTACTGCGGTATAGTATTCTAAAGAGTACATATCCCATAATTTCTTTATCCAGTCTACCGTTGATGGGCATTTAGGTTGGTTCCAGGTCTTAGCTATTGTGAATTGAGCTGCAATAAACATTAGGGTGCAGACCGCTTTTTTGTTTGCCAATTTAAATTCCTTTGGGTAAATTCCAAGGAGTGGGATGGCTGGGTTGAACGGTAGGGTTATCTTCAGGTTTCTGAGGAATCTCCAGACTGACTTCCATAGTGGCTTGACCAGTTTGCATTCCCACCAACAGTGGGTTAGTGTCCCTTTTTCTCCACATCCTCTACAGCATCTATTGTTGGTAGATTTCTATATGTGAGCCATTCTAACCGGGGTGAGGTGGAACCTCATTGTGGTTTTGATTTGCATTTCCCTGATTGCTAGTGACCTTGAACATTTTTTCATGTGTCTGTTGGCCATTTGGATTTCCTCTTTTGAAAAATGTCTATGGAGGTCCTTGGCCCGTCTGTTAAGTGGGTTGTTTGTTTTGTTTTTGTGGAGTTTCTTGATCTCTTTGTAGATTCTGGTTATTAACCCTTTATCTGTTGCATAGTTTGCAAATATTTTTTCCCATTCTGTCGGTTGTCTCTTCACTCTCCTGACTGTTTCTTTTGCAGTACAGAAACTTCTCAATTTGATGCAATCCCAATAGTTGATTTTGGCTTTGACTGCCTGCGCCTCCCGGGTCTTTTCCAGAAATTCTTTGCCTGTGCCAATATCTTGAAGGGTTTCTCCAATGTTCTCTAGTAACTTGATGGTGTCAGGTCATAGATTTAGGTCTTTAATCCATGTTGAGTGGATTTTTGTAAGGTGTAAGGTAGGGGTCTTGCTTCATGCTTCTGCACATGGAAATCCAATTTTCCCAGCACCATTTATTGAATAGACTGTCCTTGCTCCAGGAATTGGTTTTAGATACTTGATCAAATATAAGTTGGCTGTAGATGTTTGGGTTGATTTCTGGTGTTTCAATTCTGTTCCATTGGTCTATCCCTCAGTTTCTGTACCAGTACCATGCTGTTTTGATTACAACTGCCCTGTAGTATGTCCTGAAATCTGGTATTATGATGCCTCTGGCTTTGTTTTTGTTGTACAAGATTGCTTTAGCTATTCGAGGTCTCTTGTGCCTCCATATGAATCCATATGAAATTCAGCATCATTTTTTCTAGATCTGAGAAGAATGTCTTTGGTATCTTGATTGGGATTGCATTGAATCTATAAATTGCTTTTGGGAGAATGGACATTTTGATGATGTTGATTCTTCCAATCCATGAGCATGGAAGATTTTTCCATTTCTTGGTATCCTCTTCTATTTCTTTAAGATTTTGTAATTCTCATCATAGAGATCTTTAACGTCCTTGGTTAAGTTTATTCCAAGGTATTTGATTGTTTTTATAGCTATTGTGAATGGGATTCATCTTAGCAGTTCTTTCTCAGCCGTGGCATTGCTTGTGTATACAAAGGCTGTTATTTTTGTGCATTGATTTTATATCCTGCCACTTTGCCAAACTCCTCTATAAGTTCTAATAGTCACTTAGTAGAGTTCTTTGGATCCTCTAAGTAAAGAATCATATCATCTGCAAAGAGGGATAGTTTGACTTCTTCTTTCCCAATTCGTATTCCTTTAATTTCTTTTTCTTGTCTAATGGCTCTGGCTAAAACTTCCAGAACTATGTTAAATAGCAGTGGTGAGAGTGGGCATCCTTGTCTGGTGCCAGATCTCAGTGGAAATGCTTCCAACTTTTCCCCATTCAATAGGATGCTGGCTGTGGGTTTTTCATAAATTGCTTTGATTATATTGAGGAATGTTCCTTCTATACCCAATTTGCTTAGAGTTTTCATCATGAAAGGGTGTTGAATTTTATTGAATGCTTTCTCAGCGTCTATTGAGATAATCATATGGTTTTTCTTCTGCAGTCTGTAAATGTGGTGAATCACATTGATTGATTTGCGAATGTTGAACCATCCCTGCATACCAGGGATAAATCCCACTTGGTCTGGGTGGATGATTTTTCTAATGTGTTGTTGTAATCTATTGGCGAGAATTTTTTTTTTATTTTCTTAGTTTTTATTTAGGAAGTAGAACTTTTACTTTATCCCAGTGTTTTCTTCAGAGGTAGACTTTGTTTTTATTTCAATGAGTTCTTCTACTCGAGCCAGTACACTTTCAATCAAATCAAATGTGAAAAGGGCTGAATGTAAGACCTGCAGCTGCATTTCCGGAGGTATATTTGGCATCTTTTCTCCACCTACAGTTATAGAACAGAGATCCTTAGACTTCTGTATCGCTTGGCTATTTTCTTGACTGTTTTTAATTTCTGCTTCATAATGTGCTTTTGACATGTTAAGTCCTGTATGGAGTGGTTTTAAGAAATTATTCTCAATCTTTCCAAGTTCTGTCCAAACTCCAGTTTGATTGTCATTTTCATTATCTTTGATAATCAAATATCTCAACAAATTTAATGATGCCATAATCCTGTCTGAGTTTTGCAGTAAATCCATTTCAGCACCCTCTGGGAGGGAGAGCACCAAATCCAGCAGAGAAATCAGCTGTGGTCCTGTAAACCATTTATCGTTTTGCGTTTTCTTAAATGACATGTCAATTCGATTTTTGATATTCTGAATAATAAAGGCCTCCACACCCGAATGATTACTGGTATTCAATAAGCACCTAAATAATGTATATTTGCCTTGTGAATCCAACTTGTTAATATATAGCTGAAGCATAGCTAAACCCTTTTTCCTCAATGTCTCAATAGGGCAAAGTGTCATTACTTTGACTAAACCCTGAGGTGCAGTAAGAAAACTCTTGATTTCCAAGTACTGATAAAGGAGACTGTTGTCCTCTATTCTTAACAAGCCATTCTCCAGCAATTCCAATCCTTTGGAGAAAACAGACTCTTCTGTTCTTTGCAAAAAGACTTCAATATGCCCCACATTAAACTGCAAAAGGTACGATGGGCTTAAGACCATCGGAAGCTGATCAATACTGATGCCCTGTACAAATACTAGATAGGCCAGTGAAGCCATAGAGTCTGCTAACTGTTTATCTTCTTCTTCCTCAAATTCAAGGTAATTCCAAGTCTTCTTTTTCCTTCCATGATTAAAAATCATTTTGGGGAAAGGGTGTCCAATTGCTGATAAAAACCCTATTATTTCAGCTGCAAAAAACTTTAAAGGATCATTTTCACCTTCTTCAGATTGTTCAAGGAATTGTGCTGTCAGCAAAGGGCATTTCAAGCTTTTCAAACAAAATTTCAGTAATTCATCCTTTAACTTTTCATTTTCCACTGAGTTCTCTTTGGCATCAATGACTTCTTCCACAAATGGCTTAGTTAACCCTATCAAGGCCTTGCAACATTGACAGAGGCCATAGTCATCTGTCTGTATTTGTTCTTTTGAGTATGGAACCGGAAGAAGAAACAGTTGACTCCAAAGGGTAGACAATGCTAATCCAACGGAATATGCTTTGTTGTTAGGGAGTTTCTGAATCACTGTTTGCAATGGCTGAAGTAAAAGAAGAATAATTTGGGATATCTGTTTTCCAGAGGGTTCTTCGATCAATTCAAGCAAACCCAACAATAATTCCTTTGGATTACATAACTATAAAAATATTCACAATTGAACCTTTACCAATAAATCAAGCATCTGATAATAATCTTTTCTTTTATCATCTTCTTTATCATTCCATAAAAGGCATCGAACAACAGGTCCCACAAGATTCCAGCCCATAGTATTAAAGATGACCTTATTCTTTTCATTTTGAATAATTTCTAAGAGCTGGGTTATATGCCCTTCTTCTAGGCATATTTGGCCTGCTATCTGAAATAGGCCAAAATCTTCTTCTTTAAAGTCTTGCTCTTCTAGTATTTGCAGCCAGACCTCGCGCCTTCTCTACCCACTCCACCACCTCGTCTTCGGGCCACGCAGGTTGCTCTGGCGAGAATTTTATTGAGGATTTTTGCGTCTATGTTCATCAGGGATATTGGTCTATAATTTTCTTTCAGTGCTGCATCATTCTCTGGCTTACGGATTAAGGTGATGCTGGCTTCATAGAAAGAATTCGGGAGGATTACATCTTTTTCGATTGTTCTGAATAGTTTGAGAAGAAATGGGATTAGTTATTCTTTAAATGTCTGGTAGAATTCAGCAGTGAATCCATCTGGTCCTGGGCTTTTCTTTGTTGGGAGGGCCTTTATTACGGTTTCAATTTCTGTTTCAGTTATGGGTCTATTTAGGTTTTCTATGTCTTCATGGTTCAATTTAGGTAGATTGCATGTGTCCAGCAATCTATCCATTTCTGATAGATTTTCCTGTTTGCTGGCATACAAGCCATTGTAGTAATTTCTGATGATTCTTTTTATTTCTGTGGTGTCTGTTGTTACGTTTCCTTTTTCATCTCTGATTTTATTGATTTGGGTCTTTTCTCTTCTTTTTTTAGTTAGTTGGGCCAATGGGGTGTCAATTTTGTTTATTTTTTCAAAAAACCAGCTCTTCGCTTGGCTGATTTTTTGTAGTGTTTTTTTGGATTCAATCCTGTTAATTTCTTCTCTGATTTTAATTATTTCTCTTCTCCTACTTGATTTGGGTCTGGTTTGCTGCAGTTTTTCTAGGTCCTTGAGATGCACTGAAAGCTCATTTATTTGGTACCTTGGAAATTTCTTGATATAGGCACCTATTGCTATAAACTTGCCTCTCAATACTGCTTTTCTGTATCCCATAAGTTTTGATATGTTGTGTTGTTATCCTCATTTACTTCCAGTGTGGGGAGCAACTGGGAGCAACTCGGACTAGACTAAGTTACTGGAATTAAGACTTATTCTATGCATCTGCTCTCCCACAATATGGCGCTGGGAGAGGAGGAAACAGCTTCTACACAGCTGCCTCCAGTTCAACCAATAAACAGCAGGACCTGCTCCTGATTGGAGGAGAGCAGCGTACTCGGCATGTGGGTAGCAGAGTTGGGATTGGTGGAAGAGGACTATAAAGGAGGAGAGAGACAACATGCACCAGGAACATCTGAAGGAACACCTGTGCAGCCCCCTAGAGAGCCGGCCGACGGTGTGCCGCTCCCCCGCGGAAGTGGGGAAAGTGGCAGGGGAAACCGCCCCTCCACGGAGGTGGAGGGACGGTAGCCAACCCAGGAAGAACCAGCAGCAAACCCGGGGAGGGCCGAGCAGACAAAAGAACAGCGCAGGGTCCTGTGTCGTTCCTCCACGAAGAGGGGGAGTGACATAATGGTGCCGTGACTCGGATATGAAGCCTAGGCAGGGTTTAGTGTCGTTCCTCCACGAAGAGGGGGAGCGACATTCCAGAAAGTTTTTGATTTCTCTTTTGATTTCTTGAATGACCCAGTGTTCATTCAGGAGCATGTTGTTCAGTCTCCATGTGTTTGCATACTTTCTAGAGTTTCCTGAGTTGCTAATTTCCAGCTTCCTTCCGCTGTGGTCTGAGAAGCTGCATGGTATGATTCTAATTCTTTTAAACTTACTGAGACTTGCTTTATGGCCTAGTATGTGATCAATCCTAGAGAAGGTTCCATGCACTGCTGAGAAGAATGTAAAGTCTTTAGATGTAGGATTGAAAGTTCTGTAGATATCTGTTAGATCCATTTGGGCAATAGTGTCAATTAAATCTGCTGTTTCCTTGTTGATCTTCTGTCCGGATGATCTGTCTGTTTCTGAGAGTGGAGTATTGAAGTCCCCCAGTACTATTGTATTGGAATCTAAATCTCCCTTTATGTCCCTTAACATATCTTTTAAATAGACCGGTGCCCTGTAATTAGGTGCATATACATTTATAATAGTTACATCTTCCTGTTGAATTGAACCCTTAATCATTATATAGTGCCCCTCTTTGTCTCTCTTAACAGTTTTTGTATTAAAGTTTATTTTGTCTGATATTAATATGGCTACACCTGCTTTTTTTGGTTTCTGTTGGCATGGAATAGCTTTTTCCAACCTTTCACTTTCAGTCTGCATGCATCTTCGTTAGAGAGATGTGTTTCTTGTAAGCAGCAAAAAGTTGGGTTTTGTTCCTGAATCCATTCAACCAGTCTGTACCTTTTAACTGAAGAGTTAAGTCCATTAACGTTTAATGTGACTATTGATACATAGTGAGTTTGCCCTGCCATTTTCCCAGAGATATTTTCTAGTATATGCTTTGAGTTTCCCATGCTCTTTTACTGGTAGGTCTTCTTCCTTTACCTTCTTTCATATTGATGGCCGTGTTTCTGTGTTTCTGAGTGTAGCACATCTTTAAGTATCGTTTGCAGGGCCGGACGAGTGGCGGCGAAGTCTTTCAATTTCTGTTTGCTCTGAAAGGTCTTTATTTCACCTTCATTCACAAATGAGAGCTTAGCAGGGTATAATATTCTAGGCTGGCCATTTTTCTCTCTTAGCACCTGTGCTATGTCTCGCCATTCCCTCCTAGCCTGTAGTGTTTCTGATGAGAAGTCTGCTGTGAGTCTAATTGGAGATCCTCTGAGAGTAATCTGACATTTCTCTCTTGCACATTTTAGGATCTTTTCTTTATGTTTCACTGTGGTGAGTTTAATTACAACGTGTCGTGGTGAGGATCTCTTTTGGTCATATTTACTAGGGGTTCTATGAGCTTCCTGTTCTAGGATGTCTCTGTCCTTCTCCAAACCCGGAAAGTTCTCTGCTAGTATCTCACTAAAAAGGCCTTCTAATCCTTTCTCTCTCTCCATGGCTTCAGGAACTCCTAGAACTCGAATGTTGTTTTTTTTTTTTTAATAGTATCCTGTAGATTCCCAACAATATCTTTTAGATTTCTAATTTCCTCTTCTTTTATTTGGTTTGACTGTTTGTTTTCCTGTGCTCTGTCTTCTAAGTCTGATATTCTCTCTTCTGTTTCACTGACTCTGTTTTTTAGACTTTCTAATATGTTTGTCATTTGATCTATTGAGCTCTTCATTTCATTTTGATTTCTCTTCACTATCACACTTTCCTGTTCTACTAGTTTCTGTGTTTCATTTTGATCCTTCCTTAAAATTTCATTTTCATGAGAGAGATTTTCAATCCTGTCCAATAAGGATTTCTGTAGTTCAAGGATTTGCTTTTGAAAACTTCTAAATGTTCTTATCATAAATGTTTTGAAATCCGTATCTTGCATTTCTTCTATCTCATCATCTTCATAATCTTGGCTTGGGGTGTTTTGTTTATTTGGAGGTGTCATAGTGTCATCATCGATCTTGTTCCCTCGATTTTTGTGTTTGTTGCTTGGCATTGTTAATTCTTCTTCCCTCACTGTGAGTTTTTTTTTTTAATACTATGTCTGTGTTAAGTGGACTGTCTGCTGTTGGAGGAGCCTTGGAGGCTTGAGATGGGTGTGGCCTGAGAGCTCTGCTTGGTTCTTCTGGGTTACGGGTATGCAAAGGTGACACCCTCAGGTTATGCATGGTAAATCTCTCTCTTTTTATTTATTTATTCATTTATTTATTTATTTTATTTTTTTTATTCAGGAGGTAAGTAATACCACACGGCTGAGCAGAATTGATGGTATTTAGCTTCCTATCTCTGGCTTCTTCCCAAAGAGTCTGTGCGGGCTCAGTTTCTCCTGCGGACTCCCACTGGATTGCCTAGGCTACTGAATTGTAGCGCCTCAGTTTCTTAGCTCTCACCTTTTGTTATGTATATCCAGAGTGGGGCCTGCTCTTTCTCTCTTGCTCGCCCTTGCAAGGTTGGCGGAGAGAGAAATTCATCTGTACCAGTACCCCCCCAACCTTTTTTTTTTTTCCTTCTCTCCTGTAGTCAGTCTGGTGAACTTTCCTGCCTCAAGCCCGCTTCCCTCTAGATTCTGTCCACCGTTTCCCCGCCAATGTCTCGGGTTACTGAGCTCACCTCCCCTTCCAGCGCTGATGTGCGGACTCGGAGCCCTGGGCATCCCTGCTCTCCCCACTGGTCGTCTGTGTCACATCCACTCCCCTTCCAGCAGTGGCGCACAGACCCTGCAGCTCCTGCGGCTTGGCTTCCATGTGGTGAATGACCTTGGTCTCCCTGTAGGTCCTCCGAGTCACAGCCACTAGATCCAGAAGAGTTTCCTCTGCAATTTTTTCCTGATCCTTTTTCTGAGGCTACTGTAACTCCACTTTTATTAAACCAAATTTTCCCAGACTATCGGTGTGCGCCCTCACTATTCCGCCATCTTAGCTCCGCCCCCATACAATATAAAATTTACCATCTTAACCATTTCTAAGTGTAGAATTCACTAGTGTTCTTTTCTCTAGACTTTTTGTTCATGCACATTTGAAACTCTGTACCCATTAAGCACTAGTCCCCATTTCCACCTCCCCATGGCCTCTGGTGGCCACCAGTCTACCTTCTATCTCTGTGACTTCCACTACTCTATATTCCTCATATGAGCCATATAATATGCATAATTTTGTGACTGGCTTGTTTCACTGACATCATATATTCAAGATGTATTCAAGTTGTAACACTTAGAATTTGCTTCTTTTTTTTTCAAAAAAAGTGTACTTTTTATTTAACAAATTTTATTTATAAAAGGAAAAATTCATTTATTTCATATGTACAGCTTTAAGAGCATAATTATACTTCCCATCCTCCCCATTCCATCCCTCACACCCACCTTCTCTTCTTCTTTTCTTATTTTTGTTTTAATTTTTACAATGAAATACTTCCAATTTTCCTTATAATCATAAGCTCCACTCTCCACTAAATACAGAATTTAATAAGTAGCAAGTAGGAAAAACCACTGTGGTTCAGGAGTATAGACAAGGGCTATAAACAATAATTAAATTTTAAAATGTCAATTTT